CAGATGAATGTCCATTTTGTATCTGTGTATTCAAAGTGGTTAGGATAGATATATAGTTACATTCTCTTAATGAATAGAGGGATTTGTTCTATAGTGTTTGTAAACAGGATATCATGTCTGTATCTTGTACAGTAATTAACCACTAGGAAGAATGTATGCAATGTGTTAATTATTGAAACTGTCCTACCAATTTTGATTTGAAAAAAAAAAATAGCCAAAAAAAAGACAAGAAGTCTGTGAGGGTAGACAGATTTTTCTGTGTTCTTCTTAATGTTTAATCCCAGTGTCTATAACAATGTTATTCAAAATAAGAATTACGCAAGATGAATTAATTAAAGGGGCTCAACTGGCCAACATGTGGGTCTGCATATGTCTTCCTCTGTGTGGATGGTCCCAATTTGAGTATGACTCTGTGGACTGGTAGGCGGCTCTGTGTGGTGTCTGTGTGGGCACTAGTATCGGGTACACTGTGCATGTGAGGATTTAGAGTCGGAGCACTGCATATGCAGTCTGCTTCCTAGGTGCATGTGCACGTGTGCACAGCCCCTCCTCACATCTGCGGGGACATGCAGCTGGCTCCTTGTACCTTCTCAGAGAACCCCCTGCCCTTGGGCATCCATACCCACAGCCTTGCAGTTCTTGGTCAGCGTGTCCATCTCATAGCCAGGGTGGCACTCGCACTTGAAGTATCCCTTGTAATTCACACAGATCTGGCTGCAGGCATCTGGGTCCTCACACTCGTCTATGTCTGTGGGAGGAACAGGGGTCAGAACAAGCAGGGGAAACTGTCTCTGCTTGGGCAGGTAGGGAGAGTCTCACCGCCACAGGTCTTCTGGTCCAGAAGACGGAAGCCTGCCGGGCAGGAGCACTCAAAGCCAATCTTGAGGTCAGTGCAGATGTGGGAGCAGCCACCATTGTTGTGCTGACACTCATTCAGTCCTGGAGAGGGATGCAGGCTCCTGAGGGTCCAAGAGCCCAGGGGGTGGGGCAGGCGAGGGTGCGGGGCAAGAGCCTGGGGTGATAGAGCCTGAGGTGATAGAGCCCACACTGCCAGGATGATTCAAGACCTCAATGAGCCTCAGCCTCAGGCCTTTGTTCAAGGCTAGACACAGAGAGGGACAGGGGAACCAGAGCTTGGGTTCTTATCTTTGCAGGCTAGGGCTCTGTTCACCACCAGGCTGGAGCCAGCAGGCCCTTCCCTGAGGTCTTTCCTTTCGCATCCACATTTCTTGCTGCACTCCTTCCTCACAATCCCAGCTGCTCTTGGAAGGGCTTCCACATGCAATGTGTAACCCTTGGCCCCAAGAAGGGCTTCTGAAATGCCAGCCTCAGCAAGCCTGTGCTCCTCCTGGGCAGCAGGCTCCACTTTGGAACAGCAGCCACTTACGGAGTGCTTCCTCCCAGGATCTGCCTCTGCAGCCTTGCTGTGCCTCCCAGTTCTGCTGTGTGGGGCTGGCCAGGGTGCAGGGTCACCTTCAGAACTTCCTGAAGGTGCTGACCTCTAGTCACTTGCCATTCAGATCCCTTTCTCTGGACACACTCCACTTGTCCATGTCCCTCTCTGGGCAGGGTCCAGAGCTAGTCAGCCTGCCAGAAAGAGTCTAAACAGTATTGGATGGCCCCACTATCCTTGTGGTACCCAGGACTACCATACCAGGCCTCTTTCTAACAGACCTGATGCTAAGCTAGTTCTCTCCTACCATGAACTAAATGAAAATGATGGATCTTTTTCAACTCTTCCTGTCACCTGTCCCTCTTCCTCCACCTCAGCAAAGGCCTGGTCCCAGGATTACCAAATGCCAAAAGGGGTGCAGGGATGTCAGGAGGTCATCAGGCTCTGGTTCCCCCATCCTCCACTCCCTTACCTCCTTCTGGAGGATTCTAAGGGAGGGAAGTCAGGGAGTTCAGGACCAAGGCTCACCAAGTTCTCACGGCATCTCCTGGGCTTTATAATCATAGAAAGTTAACTTCACAAGTCAAGGGAAGGTGCCACCCCACACCCTGCCCACCAGCCTCATGCACAGCCACTCCAGCCAAGCCAAGCAGAGCTGAGCTGAGCCCACCATGGGCATGCAGGAAGCTGGTCCGAGCTGCCCACCCGAGGCCATGCACAGCTGAGCGTGCCCCACCTCCAGCCTAAGCCAAGCCAAGAAAGTGTCCCCTTTACCCCTGGGCCTCCTTCTCTTCCCCTGGAATGATGGTGCAACTGAAAGAACAAGACCATAGCAATGCCGTGACTCAGGGGGTCCAGGCATGGCTCGACTGGGTCCAGTCTAGGGAAGCCCCAGGCTCTTGCCAGTGTGCTGAGCCATGGAGCTTCGGAGTGGTCTCTGGGGAACCTGCCATCAGGCTTGCACCCCGAGCCCTCCTGACCTCTCTTGAACCACTCCTTCCAAGGGCCACCCATTCATGTAGTTCTCATTCACTGCCTCATTCATGCATCCACTCACTTCCTTCCTCTCCTTTTGTAGGTGGCAGCATTCCACAATTCTATTTACTGAGCATTGATGGATGTAGGCCAGCTTTGAAAGGGGGAAGGGAGTGTTCAAAGTGACTCTGGTTTCTGAGGAAAGAAGCTACAGACTCCTTGGGTCTACAGTAGGTGAACGAACGAGAAAGGGTAGTGGGTCCACATCTGCCTATCCCACCCACCTTCCCTGGAAGACCTCAAGAGAGGTCTCTGATCCTCCACAATTCTGTCTAGTGCGAAGATGATTCTCCCGGGGAACGAGGAGAGGAAGGAAATGAGCAGAGTGGTCCAGAGGCCTAAGTAGCATCTGGCGCTTCTTGGTGGTATCCCTTTCCCCAGCACATGCACACAGTTACATGCAGACACCTGCATGCACACATATACACACAAATACACACACACCGGCTTCAGGGCCCAGACACAGACAGGACCATGGACAACTCCAATGCTCACACAGACGTGGGAACACACCTGGAGAGACACAAAGGCAGCTCCTCTACTTTGACACAGACACTAGCCTCTCACTGACAGACAGACAGAAAAGCCTCAGACACCAACTCATGCATACGTACTTCTTTTTGGCATGTCATGCGAAATACAAGAGAAGAGAGAGCTCAGCAGGTTAGCAGTCCCTGGCTGACTGCAGTCTGGGGGTGGGGGCGGAGAAACTCAGTTGTTCCTACTTCCCTGTTCTTCTTCCTACAGGTACCTCCTTCTGGGCCTTCTCCCGGATAGCCTGTCAAGGCTGACCTTCACCCAGCTACTCCCTTCACTTTTAGCTTGAGGTCTGGGTTTTGTAATCTTCAAAAGGGAGCAGCCACAGAGAATGCAGTCCCTCTGGGTGCCTTCGAGGTGTGGTATACTGGGGAGTGTCTGCCAGGAGGCAGGAGAGGGGAGACTGACTTCTGTTTTCCATGGGCTACCCTGTGCAAATCTCCTTGAACCTCTGACCATCTGGGATCCGCAGAGGAGCCACCTGTGACCCTTCCCAGCTCCACAGTGGGTTACAGTGCATTCTCTGGCATGCACGCTTCATGTGCGCCCGGAGCCTCTGTTCTCACTATCCCCAAACCCACCGTGACAGCTTCGGCCACCAGGACAACTCCCTCATTCCAGCTCTCACTCATCCACCTTGCAAGGCCCACATGCCCAGGGCGAAGGGCGGTGCTCCCTTGTGCTGCTGGATGCAGTGCCCTGGCTGCGCATCAGTTGGCCTCCTGGCTGCTATTCCTCACCTCTCCCTTCATGAGCCTCCTACAGGGGGTAGAAGGGCTCAGAGGGAAGCCAGGCTCCTAGCTAGGTCAGCAGAGCAGAACATGGAGAGACAGAAAGCTGCAGTGAGCACGCACTCAGAGGCTTGAATGTGGAAGGAATGAGTAGGAGGAGCTGAGTTTGTAAGAAGCAGCATAACTTTTGAGCATCTGGGCTAGAAAGGAAAGGCCTTGGAGCTTCACAGAAAGCAGAACAAGAGGCCACGGGGGCCAAGAGCCACAGGGCAGCACACACACACCCTGAGAGGGGAGCAGAGAGGCGTGTGCGGGGCCTGGCAGGAGGGTCAGTCCTGCCGTTGGGAGGGGCAGGTTCCGTACCACACTCTTTCAGCAGCTCATCCGACCAGTCCTGGCAGTCCTTCTGAGCATCACACACTTTCCCGCTGTCCACGCACTCGCCACTCTTACACTGAAATCTGCGGGGACCCTCACAAGTAGACTCTGTCGGGCCAGACAAGAGAATGGATGGTGCCTGTGAGACCTTGGGCAAGAAGCCCAAGGCTGGCCCCGGGCTCAGGAAGACAAGCAGAGCTCCAGCCCCTAAAGGGTCCCAGGGAGGATGAGTCCTGTGCCACCTCTAGCTAGGTGGAGCCATGGGTGTACTTGACCTGGAGGCCTGGGGCCCTGGGACGGACTGCAGAGATGCAGAGACTGGGCTGACCTCCTCCTGAGGAAGACAGACCTCTATCCATGGAGCCTGGAGAGGAAGGGTTGGCTCACTGCACAGAACTAGTGGTCAGGGTCTCTGTTCCTGCGGGGGGCAGGCAATAACCAGAAGAACTATCTGCTCAGTCCCTAGTGAGGGAAGCTTGGACACGGACAAGCAGGACAATGCCTGGGCTTCCTGCACTGCCCTTTCACAGCCCTGAAGGTGTCTTTCAGCAGCTTAGAGAGTCCTGCAGGACCCAGTTCTGCTGTCACTAGCACTCTGAGAGGGAAACCAGCTTAAATAGGGCAGGGGACACCCTGGGCAGGAATACATCTTGGGAACCAAGGGCAGCCTCTGCCACCTCCACTCTCTGCAGACCTAGGGAGAGCATGGAGATTTCCTTAGGGGACCCAGCCTCTGTCCTTGCTATGCGTACCCTGCAGGCAGCCAGCTTCATCACTCCCATCTGGACAGTCCTGTTCCTGGTCACAGCGTTTGAACGCAAGGACACAGGTCCCATCCCCACATTGGAACTCGTCTCCACGGCAGGTCCCCAGCACTGCTGGAAGAAATCAAAAAGGACAGGGTCAGAGTCAGTGTGGCACCAGGACAGCCCCGAGCCATATCCCCCTAGGCAAGAACAGAACCAGTGGGTGTGCTGAGGAGTCTGCAAAGGACACCTGGCCAAGGCACCGCAGTGTACCAATGGGGAGACTGAAGCTCAGAGAGGGGGAAGGCCTTGCCCGGGTCACACAGCACTCAGGCAGGCAGAGCCAGGACTAAACCTCAGGCTCCTGTTTTCCTGTCTGCTGTTTCTCCCCAGCGCAAACACGTGGCCTTCAGATAAGTGCTCTTGACTCACAACTCTGCCCTCTCTGCCAACGCTTCCAGGGCTGGGTGCTGTACTAGGTAGTGTGAAGAGCCCAGAGAGGACTGAGTGCCCCCCAGGGAGCACAATAGGAGATGGCTGTAAGAGGGGGTCACAGGACTCCGCCCCTGCTGCACACTAAGTGCAGATGAGAAGGCAGGGCATCAGGGCAGAGCATGAGCACCAGCAAGCTGTGCCCTGCTTCTGGGGTTTACCAGAGCCTAAGAGCTCTGAGATTTCCAGCAGTCAGTTCTACTAAGTCTCCTCCCTAGTAAAACAGGGGTGGAAGGCAAGGACGGACAGTCTGTACCCAGCCAGTGCATGGCCGGATCCGCAGACCTGTAAGGGAGTGGGCATGGAGGGGGCTTACGGCAGTCGGCCTCGTCCGACTTGTCCTTGCAGTCGCGGTCGCCATCGCAGCGCCAGCCCAGGTGTATGCACTCGCCACTGCGGCAGGTGAACTGGGTGCTGGGGGAGCAGGCTGCGGGCACCCACGTGGTCCCCGGGCCCCCTGGGCCACAGAGCTCGGCCACCTCATCTGAGCGGTCCTCGCAGTCAAACTGGCGGTCGCAGACCCAGCGCTCAGGGATGCAGCTGCCGCCGCTGCCACAGCGGAATTCCCGTGGCCCACAGGCCGGGGCCGCACAGCCGCGCTCGTCGCTGCCATCTCCGCAGTCGTCATCGCCGTCGCACACGAACACAGCGGCCAGGCACGAGCGGTTGCTGCACTGGAACTCGTGCGGGGCGCACACTGCGCAGGGAGAGAGCCGTCGGCCGGCCGAGCCCCACCCTCCGCGAGCAGCCCACAGGCCCAGCTACGGGGTCTCTGACCCTCACTTGCGGGTCAGAATGGGCTCCACTGGGGCCCAAGTGGGGCATAAGGTCAGATACAGCAAAGGGAGCCTCCCAACCCGGCCCTGCCAAGGACAAGCTGGGTGACCCTGCGCTGCCCAGCTTTCCTGTGTAAGTGCAGAGAGGGTTTCTGAAGACCAAAGCTGCAGAGTGCAGCTTGCCTTGCAGGACAGGAAGTGACATGCAACATGACAAGGGTGGTGTCGGTGCCTGATAGCAAAGCTCCACACAAGCTGCATTCTCAGCCTGCGTCCCTGCCTGGCACGCCCAGCTCAGGCCGCAGCCTCGCTCCTACACATGCCAGCACCAGCAACCTCAGACAGGCCGTCTGCCAGGCCCAGCACCTACGGTGCCACACTGGGGTTTTGCTTCACTTGCTCCACCTTCCTGAAGCCCTCCTCTTGCCCACCACTGCCTCCACATTTTTAATCAAGTTCCCAGCTCTCCAAGTCTCACGTTGTGCCTCTGCCGTGACACTCTCTGCATGCTTCCCTTCTTGGGAAACTTCCCTTTGCCTCTGTCCTCCTTCCACGGGCCCTGTACAACCTGCCTAGGTATCTCAGTTGCACAGCCTGCTCCACCTGGCCCATGACCACAAAAACCTTTGTCCTCAGTGCCCAGCAGGAGCTCCAGTGGGGTAGGGTGGATGGTACCAGACTCCTGGGTCTGAGGGACAATTATGGCTGTGCGGTAATGTAAGGCACAATCCTGACACTGCCTAGGGCCCTGGGCTTCCTCTCTATGAAGAACTGGTTTGAGCTCAGAGGCCTGAAGAACTCTAGGGAAAAAACAGCCCAACTGCTAGTTACAGATAGGAAAGTTGAGGTCAGAAAGAAGAGTGACTTTATTCAAGGTCATATCACTGCTCTATAACAGAACTCAGGATTAGGACATTCTCTTTCTACTCTTTTTCTCAGCTTTTCTGGTTTTCCTATCTCTTCCTGGAATGCAAGCTGTTTCCAGGCCAGCAACCTTCTTCCTCCTTTGTGTCTTCAGACAGTGGCCAAGAATTGGCCCGAGGGTCCAAGATGGACAGATGCAATAGCTATAACCACAGGTGGTAGTACCAGATCTCTCCACGTGGGGGCACCCAGAGCCTGTGTTTCTGTTTTCTGGTGAAAAAAAAGCCCATCAATTTTTATTGTTATGGAGTATAAACTGATGTCTTAGGTTTCACAATGTAGATAGCTCACAACATGTGTTTCTGACAGCTCCACCAGTTTCTGACAGTTGCCTTCTTTCTCTCCTTCCAGGCCTTTGGGATATTAGGACAGTGGAGCTCATGGGACGTGGGGCCGTAATCCCTCAAAATGATGCTGACACCTCAATCAGCTTCCCTTCTGCCTTGGCTTGTAATCGTGCAGGAAGAGCGGATGTGGTGCCTTCTGGAAGCCCCCACGGGAAATGCTTCTCAACACTGAGTCTCACTGAGGTTCTGGAAATGACAGTAGTGTTGAGATCCATGCTACCTAGGCCAGAGACCCCACTCCCAGCATTCACTAATGGCAGCGATTCTGAGAGATGGGAGGATTTTTTTTTCCCCCGTTCTGTACAGGCAGTAGGAGAGAAGCCCAGTAAGACCTTCTAGCATGCTGGGTTCTATAATTAGCAAGGAATGTCCCTGTCCCAACATGCCCTAGTTAGAGAGACTCCCACCTCCTGCTGTAGTGACAGATAGCTTTTATAGTGGAGGAATCCACAGGTAAGAGAGAAAGCCACCTCACAGTATTATGACAGCTGAAGAAATAAGCCAGTTTAGTGGGATTTTGAAGCTGCTGGTCACAGACAGGCTCCCCCTCCCTATCTAGATCCTATTCCTGCCTCAGACTCATCAGAGCTCTAGATTCAGAATCTCAAGATGCTGTGACTCAGATTCCTTATAGAGACAGCATTTCCTCTGGGCCACAGGGGATAGATGGCTGAGATGCACACAGAGAGGCGGTGGAGGGGAGCAGGGGTGAGAGCGGCAGGCAAGCACCTGGTAGAAGCCCTCCTGAGTGGTCACCTGTACCTGCAGCCAGCCTCACAGCCTAGCTGGTTCCTGTGAAACCATGGACTCCGAGAGAGCGGACTGTGTAAGAGTCACCTCATTCTTTGTATACCTGGCTTCAGGCCTAGCACACAGTAGGTGCCCAGTGGACTGAGATGAATGAGGCCCAGCCCCAGGGCCTACAGGCCCAGCCTAGCTGACCTGCTCCCTGGGCAGGAGATAATCCAGTGCTTGAAACTCAGTGATGTGGAACAGCCCCAGTGACCACTTCCATCTGTCCCCGCTGAGGCTGCTAGGTGGTTCTTCCCCATCCTGTGACATGTGCCCTCAAATCCCAGCCTTCAGCAACAGGAGTCCTCACACCTTGGGAATCTGCCCCACCCCCTGCCAGCCCTGTGCTACCAGTGCCTTGGCTCCAATCCCCACTTCTCCACAGGCTGCCTCTGTCGCCCTGCCTTTGCTCCTAGATCAGTGGGCTTGTGGAATGGACGACAAGATGTTAGGCATGGTACAAAGCTCTGCGATCCAGTTCTGAATTTGCATCTCAATCCCATCCTTTGGCCTTGGACACTTTTCCTCCCTCGTCTGAGCCTCAGTTTCCTCACCCATTCAAATGGGAATGACAATGGCTACTCATGAGGTGGTTGTGAGGATGAAGGAAGAAAATGTCTCTTAAGTGCCGGGCCATTACTGGTGTCCTGATTCTCCTCAGTTCCTGTCCACCTACCAGGCCTCTGGAAAAACAGGCCCCTCCCCAGAGGTGGCCGACACTACCCACCACGCTTGGCAGACCATTGGGTTCTGGCCCCAGACTCACAGGTTGCACAGCCGGCCTCGTCAGCTCCACCCTCACAATCCTTCTCTCCGTCACAGCGCCACGAGGCAGGCACACACTTGTGACTGGTGGGTCCACAGCTCAGCTTCTCTGCGGGACACACTTGCCTGGCTGCAAAGAAAGACGTGCATGCTTGGCTTAGCAGTGGGAACGCAGGCACCAACCAGTCCTATCACCTGCCTCCAGCCAACTGGCACAATGCCTTCTGGAAGGTCCATGGGGTCCTGCATCCCATCTGCCCCTTGGACTTCCCAGATCTTAAATCTGACCCCATCACACATGCATGTGCGTGCACACACACACACACACACACACACACACACATACCCTGTCCATGACAGTTGAGTCACTCCTCGACCCAGTGAGCCCTGACTGAGCTGCACAGTTAAACCTCCCACTCCTCTGGGCCTCCTCTCCAGGCTCGCACCTGAAGCCACCATGCCTTGCACCTGTCCCTGCTGCATCAAAGCTATGTGCCCTTGGATGTGATACACCCAGCTGGATGTCACTTTGCAGACCAGGTCAGTGACACCATGATCCAATCCTGGAGATCTGGGGGGAGCCCACCAGAACCTAAATAGTCTCCAAGCCCCCTTCCCCAGTGATGGTGCTGAGCCTGCAGCTAAGAACAAGCACCTCCAGGCAGGGCCCAGTGGGACTACACAGCTATAATTACTGCAGTCGCAATTGCAAGCTGATGCAATCAGGGGCCTGAAGCCCCAGGGTTGATTCTCAATTTTGAAGAAGGAATGAGAACCCTATGCAGTTCTCATCCTGACTGAGCCTTCTCTGATCCACGTGTCCACTGGGGCAGACGAGTCTCAGACCTCCATGGTTGGCTGACTACTGCCTTCCAGGAGGTGCAAGAGACTGAATCTCAGTGGTGTCTAGGATGCGCCAGGCACAGTGCTAGATGCTTTTATTTAATCTTTATAATAATCCAGCAGAGTGAGGATCATTCCTGCCTCCAGGATGAAGACAGACACCACGGCTCTGCATACCTGGCTTCAACCACAGCTCAAACACTCACTGGCTATGTGACCTTGGCCATTCCCTATTTCTGTGCCAATACAGCAGGAAGATGCTATGACCTATCTAATGGGGTTCTTATGATGACAGGCCATTGACTGCAAAGCACTGAAAGGGACACACAGCCCCACACTTATTAAATATTGCCTCTTACTAGTACCCACATAACAGATGAGAGCCCTGAGTCCTGGTTAGCTATTCAGCGAGTACCAACTGCACACTGCTGTGTACCAACTATGGTGGTCAACGCTGAGTTCCAGTCCCACAGCTGATAAGGCACAGTATGAAAATGTGGTCAGCTGTGTTGGCCACCACCTGGACCCAGGTGGTATCTCAGGGGCAGTGGCTATGCAGGTCCCATTCTGGTTTCTGCTCTCAGACTAGTTTCTGATCTTTTTTTTTTTTTTTTTTTTTTGGTGGGGGGGGTACCAGGGATTGAACTCAGGACCTTGCACTTGCCAGGCAGGCACTTACGTCAGTGAGCTATATCTCTAGCCCCTCCCCCCCATCCTTTTACTTCAGCTGGGATGCAAGGCTTCCAGAGATGGAAAAAAGGCATGGAAAGGCGGAAAGGGCTGTGTCAAGGTCCCCAACAGTTCCATGTCATGGGAGAAGTGTGGGTCCCAAAGTTATCTCTGAGAATACATTTCACAAACCATAGAGCAATCCATTGAGAATATGGGATTCGTTTTACAGACATTTCCATTTACACGTAACTGTCAGGCAGAGCTCTGGAAAGCAGACACTTGGATGACTCTTTAAAAGGCCACCTCAAGTCAGCCATGTGGGCAGGTGAAGGAGTCTGGGAGTCTGGAGCCGGGGTCCTTCTAAGGCATCTCCCTCACAGTGGGACTTCAGGCCAGCACTCCCGGGCTCCGCTGGGACACAAAGGTGCTGAAGGAGACCAGCACTCTCCAGAGGGTGCTCTGACAAAACGGAGAAATAAGGATCCCCCCCACATGTGTATAGGTTCTGGGGACCTAGCTCATGCCAACTGAATCCAGACTGCAAGTAAATCCATTTGAGAACTCCAGTTACTATTCTACACCACTAAAAGATAAGGGGTATTTCATGCTTTTCAAATATGTTTGTTTTGTTTTTGTTTTTGGTGGGACCGGGGATTGAACTCAGACCCTTGCGCTTGCCAGGGAAGCACTTATTTTACTGAGCCATCTCCCCAGCCCCTTGAGTTTTTTTTGTTTTGTTTTTTGTATTTTTTTTAGGGAAGGGTCTACATGGTGTTCAGGGTCTCACTACTAGATTGGACTCCTAGTGATCTGCCTGTTTACAGCCTCCCAAGAGCTGGGACTACAGGCACGTGCCACTAAGCCCAGTCTCAATTGCCATCTCGTGCACCCCGGGGACAGGGCCAGCATGACAGACCTGGGGATTGAACCCTGGGCCCTGCACCTGCTTGCAGGCACTTTAATCCACTGAGCTATTTGGCCGGCCCTTGCTTTTCAAATATGAAACCATAAAAGTAATAGAGGAGTCCCAAGCATTTGCAAGCTCCAGAGATAGCAGTAAGTACAAGGGCAAGGCAACCCTCCACTGCTTATCTTGAACCAGGCCTCAGGGAACAGATGCACCCAGGGCAGTGGGAAGGGCCACGATGACCAAGCACCTGCAGTGTCAGGCTACTCTGTACCTTGTCAAGGTGGAAAGCTGGTGCTACACAAAACTCATAATGGAACCTGATCCCCAACGCAGTAGTGGTAAGCAGCCCCCTGAATGGGATTCATGCACTAACAAAGGTGAGTGAGTCCCTTGCCGCTTGTGGCATGGGGACTCAGAGAGAAGGCACCATCTATAAGAAATGGGCCCTCAGCAGACATTCAGTCTACTGGTGCCTTGATCCTAGACTTCTCAGGCTGTAGGCTCAGAAATCAATAATTTGTTTTACTTACAAATTACCAGTCTACAACATTTTGTTATGATAGCCAGAACCGACCAAGACACAGCATCACCCTCATGCTGACAGGTAAACAGACCCTGCAGGCTATGAGTACAAATTCCAGAAGCAAGATAGCTCAGCAGACTAAGCACCTGCTTAGGCAAGCACAGGGGCCAGGGTTCGATCCCCGGCACCAGATGCCCTGCTGGCTCTGCCCCCGGGGTGCTAAGCCAGTCACTGAAACCAGGCGTGGTGGCTCATGCCTATAATCCCAGTGGTGGGGAGGCTGAAAATAGGAGGACCACTACGAGTCCAAGCTACATAGTGAAACCCTGTACCAAACACATTTTTAAAAAAAAGACATTCCAGGGAAGCTAGGCAGAGACATTCTCAGGTGAGCAGTGTCCTTGGTGAGGGGCAGGGCAGCAGTCCTACAGTGCAGGTGAGGAAACTGAGGCTAAGCGAGACCAAGTAACTGATGCAGGTGAGAGATAAGAGTCTGGGCACCTCTGACTAGACCCCTGCCCTCTCCATCAGAACCTGCATGTTCCAGAGCTAAGCCATTGCTCTCCCCAGAGTCCAGGTGACTGAAACGGTCCTTGGCTGTAGGCACCACCTCCCCTGGTTCTGCAGACCCCAGCAAGGCAGGAAGTTGATTGAACTTTTAATGAATATTTATACAGCTAATGGCATAACCTTTCAGCAAGGACAATGATTGAACAATCCGTCTGCTTCCTTTCTTTATAATAAGACATTTGCTGTGTCCCTAAATAGACAGCTCTAATTACAGGCTCTCAAGATTCAGCAGTACCTGACAGCAGACTCCACACCTTCCCCTAAGGCCAAGGCTCTTGGAATGCTGGGACAGGTGCACCTTGGGGGTCACGCTGGTGAGGCTCCCTGGAGGAGCTGGAGCCCAAGTCCAGAGAAGGGCAGGTACTGGCTGTTCCTCATGTCTATCTCCTGGAACCTCATGTCTTTCTTGTGATGGATAGCTCTTCCTCAAAGCCAAGAGCCCAGCCAGTTACAGCCTCCAGATCAGCAGAGCCCTGGAAAGTGCTGGTGTGCATTATCAGCCTATGAGCTCGGTCCTCTTATCTCTTCCAAGGAAGTTGTCTGCTCAGCATCTTGTGGCGAAGGGCAGAACTGTCCTCCATCCCAGGCCCAAACACACTGCTTAACTTACTGCACTTAACCACTGCACATGAGAACAGACCCCACTGGTCTCCCTAGCCCATCTGGGATGGAGGGGAACCACTGAGCATGGGGCTCCTGGGGCCTTGGCTGCTCAGGCTATACAAGGTGGCTGTCTGATGTTCACTTTCAGGATCCCTAAAGCCAGTGACCCCCAGGCAGCATGACATGGGAGAAAGACCATGAGTCTGAAGCAGGCAGACCTGGGCCAGATTCCACTCACTGCTGCTCAGGTCCTTCGGCTTGGGTAAGTCACTCTGCACCCTAGCATCCTTCATCTGAGATGGGGCTAAACACTTTCCTAGGCTGGGTGCGTGGTTTCAACATGGAAATTTGGAAATCCTTATACTCAAGAGCCTGGAACAAACCTGGAGCTCGAAACACAGTTACCCTTGTTTTAGTTCATGAAATGGAAATGCAAATGACTGGCAGAGGGACCCCATCTCTCCCCCAGGGATACACATAGGACCGCAGGGGTCCCCACAAAGCAGCTCCCATCCCTAGCAGCCTCTCCCTCTGAGACAGATGCCCCAAGGGACACCTCTGGCCTGATGTCCAGGCACCCCAGGTCCTACGCAGCAGGAGTGAAGAACCCCACTGTCTCTCAGACAACAGGAAGCCCCTAGAGTCAGCAAGGAGGCTTGCCACTCCACCCTGGAGTGGCTGCAGGCATCTATTAATTTCCAGAGAATCCTGCCCCAGAAATCCAAACCCACGAGTATTCTCTCCAATTCATAAGTTCACAAATTAACAAAAAGGGAAATGTCTGTCGGGGAAAAGAATGAAAGCACTTGGCAGCTGCGTGCTCATCAGGCGAGTCTGCAGTGCTGGTTCACGTGAGTTTCTGGGGGAGACAACCTCCATGCAGCTGGGGCTCCATGGAAGCCAGAGGCTCGGGCAGTGGGGAGCATCCCACCATGCGGAAGTGGGGGCTACATGGGGTCGGGCGAGACACATCTAGCCGGGTCGGTCCCCCTTGCTGGGCCTCCATCTCTTGAGCTGCAAGAGGAAGGCGAGCGCGGTGCATCCGTGAGGTTTCCTTCCAGGCTCTAAGATGCAAGGAAAGATGCGGTGAGCAGCACCTAGAGTGCAGCTCGTTCCCCTCGAGCCCCTCCACCCACCACCCACCCCCTGCCAACAGCCGCCAGAAGGTGGGTCAGAGCTGTCCCCAGTCAAGGGAGCTATAATTAGAGCTGAAATGCTACTTTCGTTAGGCAAATGTTCTGTGCTTTTCCATGGTGATTCTGGCTTTATCTGCTAAGTACAGAACTCAGAACCACAGAGAACCCTGATCGGCAAGGGGGAGATGACACTGTAGGAAAAAGCGTGAGCGCAGAGGGGACCTGCTTCCATACCGCTTTCCCTTTCCCTTTCCATTCAGCCTCTCCACTTACTCCATCCTAAGAGTTTAATACCATAGTATTCTAATAGTTATGTTGAGGGCAGAGGGCCTGGAGTCCAAATCATAAAAATGACACTCACGTATTCCAGCAAGCACCAGTATTTGAATTTTCTCATGTCCTCACAAGGTAAGGCAAGTGCCATTATGCCATTTTACAGAGGAAGAAACTGAGGCTCAAAGACTGGGTGGGCACTTGTCTTAAGTCTCACAGGTTAAAGGAGCAGGCCAACTACATCAGACACCAAATTCACTAAGCATTACAGCCTGTGCTCTTTCTGTTAGGTGCAAGGAGTGGGTCTGGAGCCTGAGAGCTGGCACAGGCCCAAAAACCTGGTAGGCTAGGGTGGTTGCTATGGAAACACCAATTAAACGGACAGCAGGTTGGTTGCTGGGTTCTCATTCGGTTGGAAGCTGTGATCCAACCCACTACCAGGTCCCCGATTCTGCCTTAGCCTTGTGGCTGCACGTGGCTAACCTCCTCCAGGCAGCCCTCCCCAGCCACAGGAAGTAGGGACCCCCCGCCTTGCACCCCATCTGGGCACAGGCAGAGGAGGCCTGTGAAGAGGCCAAGGCACTGACTGTGAGGCCTTTGGAGTTTCGGATGTTAAATCAGGGCCCAGACAGATGGACAGTAGGGCCTCGCACAGTTATGAGGATGGACTCAGAGGACTGCCGGCCTCTCTTCTCCTGGGTGCTGCTGTGGCTGCTTCTCCCAAGGGCGCCCTGGCATACCCCAGAGAGCTTGAGAGGAGCCTGTCTCTCGTCATGGAAGGGAGAGCGTCCATGAGTTGGCTGTGCATCTTTGAGGCAAGTCTATTGATGTCTCTGGTCCTCCTTTGCCTGGCTGTTGAATTAAAGCAGGACTGGGAGGCAGGAACACCCTGCATTGCCCACCGCGGGGGACAGGCAGAGGGGAAAAGATAGGAAAGCAAGGGGCAGTGGGGAAGAGAGAGCTGGTGAGACACCGATGAGCAGGGGAGGGAGGCGGCCTGGCGCAGGGCTGGGCGGGGCCTGAGGGGAGGTGGGAAGGAAAATGAACATCAACATCTATGCTGAAAAACAGCCGTGGGAAGAAGACAGCACACCCCTCAGGCAGCAAGACAGCCCTCATGGAGAACCACAGTGAGCCCCTCTTCCTGCCCGTGTCAGGGCAGCAGCTGGAGTGGGTGTGGGAGGCACAGCTGGCTAAGGCAAGGGTAGACAGGGCCACAGCCTTCCTCCCAAAGCACACCCCAGATCACGTAGGACTCTGCCTTATCTGGCTGGGCTTCTGCAGCAGCTTTGGCCAAACTGCCAAACCATCCCAGCCTCAGTTTCCCTCCTTAGGTAGTGTCCAGCTCCCCCCCACCCCCAGGCTACCCTGGAGATGGAAGTCACAGGTGGGTGTGGCAGCGCTTTGTTCCTCAGAAGCTCAGGACAAAATACTGGACTTCCCTCCCACTAGGGCATTTCCAGGGCAGCATGGAATCTGGAGGAGGGTGGGGTGCAGACAGCATGGGCCTGCGGTGGCACTGGTAAGCAGAGAGGGACAGCTGTGCAAGGAAACCAGGGCCCCTTGTCTGGGGCGGGGGTCTCTCGCTCTCCCTTTCTCTCCCTTTCTCTCTTGCATGGAGGGAGACTGGTAGCTCTGTTGCTAGGAGACAAGGAAACCCAGTTATCACCAGCCACAGCCCTAGATGGGACTCCAGCTTCCATTGTTCCTGTCTCTGCCTCTGGGGTGACTGTTACCCCTAAAGAGGAGCTCTGCCCACCCCCAGCCCCACCATCCTCCACGTGTGCCCCTCCGCCCAGCCCTTTGTGTCAGACTTGTGCTGTTAAAAGCGGTGCCTCTGGACCACTGGGCCCCTCCCCGCCCCCTTCTCATCTCCTTTTTAATTTAACAAATGTCACGGAATGACCTGCTGGGTGTAAGTTTGCTTTGAGGATTAGGGACTGGAGAAGAAATCATGGAGAGACAAAGCCCTGAGTGTGGGAGGCGGGCTGGGGGCTCCTGGGCTCCGCCTCACCCTTCCTTGCCTGCCTCTGTGGCTACCCTTCTGCGGGTACATAATGAGGTTCCCCGACACAACCCACCCACAGCAGAGGCAGGAGCCGGGGCCTCTGTGTCCTGGGTAGGTGGTCATGTGCAAATCACTGAACTCTGAATTACAGTGTCCACCTTTACAAGATCCAGGAAATGACAGTACCTGCCCCCCAGGCTGCTGAGAGGTTAAAAGGAATTAGCGGGAACAAAGAACTTAGCGTGGTGCCTGGCACACGGTGAATGCTCAACAAGCACCAGCTGCCGTTCATGCTATTGGAATTACGATTAGGGTCCCGGGAACAAACGGGAGGCCCGGAAGATAAAGCGTAAAGATTCAATGGGCTGCTTCTGGCTCCTGGTGCTCTAGGACCATGGTCCAATCTGAAGGAGGCCAGAAACAGATTAGCTAGCAACTAGGTGTCCTTGACTGGCCACCAGGAGCCCCCCAGGGGCGTGGCACAGCATCTACTGAGGAGTCTCCCAAGCCAGCACGGAAGAGGCAACGAGGGAACTGAGGTCCAGGCCCAGGCCCGCTCTCCCCCAGTCCAGTGGAGGACTCACTGCAAGTGGTCTCTGACTCATCGGAGCCATCGGGACACTCCTCCTCGCCATCACACTTCCACCGCTCGGGGATGCAGTGGCCATTGTCGCAGGTGAAGTCGCTGTCCACACACGTCTTCTTGGCTACAGGGCAAGGAGAAGAGAATTAAGGGTCAAAGGGCATAGGAGGCCTCCCCTAAGACACACAATCAGGGGTCCAAGAACCACCTCACTGACTCAGGACTCGGCAGTGGAGCACCACATGGAGACCCATGACCCTTGGCACTGTCCCCCAGTGCGGAGCTCGAGTCCAGCAAGGCCAGTAGAGTCCACCACACCCTTCTCTCCCCCCAAAGCTCACTTCCACTGTCTCCAGTCCCTTCAGCCAGTTCTTAGTCCCTCTACCTTCCCGTCCCACCCCATCCACCCTGGAAGTCAAGGCTGCATCCAAAAGCACCCAGGAGCTGGTGGCCATGAACTCAAAAGCAGATGATCCCTCCATGGAAAGGAATGAGGTATTCTGTGGTCACAGTGGTGACCAAATGCCTGTTGGGTCACCCCCAGAGAGGCCCTGGCCCTGAGGCCTTCCTGAAGTTGTATAGGGGAGACTTCTATTTGTGCACCAGGATTTGGATCCCAGCTGGGCCTCCTATCTGTGAAACCTTGAGGTTGTTACTGACCCCGGGCCCTCCTTTTTCTTAGTTCTACAAGGGGCCACCAGGACTGGTGAGGAGTCATAGTGCCTGAGAACATGCTGCAAGGACCTGGCACACCACAGGTCCTCATGAGTGGCAGCTAGTGCTGTTTCCATAGTCCAAGTATTAACTAGCCATGAAAGAAATGGGGAATTCTATGCCCACAGCCTGCAGTAGCACCTGGGCAAGAATGAAGGTCTAGGCCCCAGCAGGACTCTGCTGCCTTCAGAGTTTCATGAGACAAAAGATTGTATCTCAAGGTTTCCTGTTATGATTGCTCTGTGCTATTCTGGCACCGTAGTGCCTTCTGGAGTGCCCAGTGCAGCTGAGGGCAGCTGTGTGCCAGGCCTCCCAAGGATAAGCATAGATGGCCTGGTGACCCCGAGGTGTGGAGTGGTGAGGTCTTGGGGAGCCCCACCTTCACTCCCTACACTGCATCCCGTTGGTCTCCTCTGGAGCAAATCTGCATTCCATTTCTGTGTCTCCCACTGCAGGCCTGGGCTGACAGTCTAGGCCCTGTGGCAGCCCAGTACGGCGGGAGACAGGAGGCCTGGCTTTGCTGTTTTGCCCTGTGCCCTTCAGCAAACCACTGTCTGTTTCTGGGTGGTCCTGGGAGAGAGAACCATTTGGTGTAGAAGGCAGATCCAGAGCAGGCGCCAGTCACAGCGAGGGTGGTCTCTTCTCACCCTGAAGGAAGATACCTCAGCACTGCAGAGTCTACCAGGCCTTCACGAGCCCAGAAACACCAAAGTCCAGCTTTGAATGGCCTTGGGGTTACATGTGCCATCAGGGGCCACCCGCCTCTCCCCAGCGTGCTCCCCTTGCGCTACTCAATCTCCACACTTGCCAAATGGGTCCCACCTGGACAGCGGTGTGTCCCTGTGCACCCATACCATGGACCCCACCACAGCTTGCTCCTCTTGTCCCAGGTCTGAAAGCTCTTTCACTCCATGGAAAGGAATGAGGTATTCTGTGGTCACAGTGGTGACCAAATGCCTGTTGGGCCACCCCCAGAGGCCGCCTTATGACACACTCGAGCTATCCCCTCTTCCAAGAATCCTTCCTCAAGTACCTCCAGTCTTTTGAGGGAGCCTTCCCTGAGCTCCCCTAAACAGCCTTCTAGAGCAGAAGTCAGCAAACTTCCTCTGTACAGGGCCAAAAAGTAGATATTTTAGACTTTGGGGGCCATAAACTCTGTGACATTATTCAGTTATGCCATTGTGCAGCAAAAGCCACCACATACCAGGGGTAAAAATGTGAACACAGCTGTTTTTCATTAATTTTTTAAAATTATTTACTTATTTATTTGGTATAGGGTCTTGCTACACAGCTCAGACTCACAGTGATCCTCCTGTTTCAGTCTCCCCAGCACTGGGATTACAGGCATGCGCCACCACACCTGGGGTTCCGGAGAAGGCGTGGCATGTGGTACCAGGGATCGAACCTGCTTGCCAGGCTGGCACTTAGACCACCAAGCTATCTCCCCAGCCTCACTGCTGTCTTTTAATATAACTTTATTTGCAAGAACAGGCAGCGAGCTGGAGGCGGCCAATGTCCTGTAATCTGATGACCTCCGCTCTAGGCTCTAGATCATCACCGATCTCACACTCAAATATGGTCTGCACCCTCCTACCCCTAGCACGGGACCCAACTCAGGGAGGGCTGCTGGGGCTCTGGGCTGAGAGACAAGGACACGGGGTCTTCTGCCTGTCTTGCTGTGTTTCCTCAGGCCTCCGCCTCCCTAACTATGGTGGATTGTGATTCTTTGGGTTTCTTCCAGTCCTGCACACACACAGATGCATCCACTTAAGGAAAATGTGAAGAAAACTCATGTTGGAATGCAGATGCACTACAAGGACTCTGGAAAAGAAAGGCAGAGATAGACTTAGGGAACTAGTTTCTCCCCAAATCCCTGCAGGCAGCTAGAGGACCATGGAGGAAGCTAGTGTGTGGGAAGGAACTTCATAGGAATGGAGGAGTCCTGGGCTTGGAGGTGCCAGTGTAGAGGCTGAGGGTTTGGTTTGGTTACCTTGCCACCTTTTGGCAAGTTAAGTCCATCTAAAGTCAGCACCATATGAACCACAGCACTCGGAAATTACTTCCCTGCAAGAAGCCCAGCGTCCACCATGAGAAATGATAGTGCATGTTTTCTTTTGCCTGCTCCAACACTGCTGAATGCTTCCTGTCCAGCAGTCTCTGCTATGTGCTTGACCTGGAAAACTGTCAAAGCAGGCCTCTCGTGTTCTCCCTTGACATCTGAGGAAACCCAGGTCCAGAGATACGAAATTATACACCTTCATCATTTCTGGGTGAACTCACAATCCGCTGTGCCTGCCTTTGCCCACCATGGCTCCCCAACAACACTCCACAGGAAGCGTGGATGGCAGGCAGGCCCCATGGAAGCAGATGGGAAAGCCCTGTGGAAGCTTCGACCAGCAATGTAGGAGCCTCTGCCATCGGACACAAAGGACAAGGCACTAGTCAGCCCACAGGAGCCCCACACAATGACTGGGCAGGGCCTAGAAGAGCAGGGCAGGTTTATAGGTGAGAAGAGGGCTCTGTCACTGGCCATACAACAGCCAGGCTCTTCCCAGGACGCTTCTTCCCTGGCACTCTGGAAGCTCAGGGGTGAGCTTGCCCTCCTTGCATATGCTGAACCCTGACAGGCAATAGGCAAGACCAGACCAGCCAAAAGCACCACCACAATCCCAGAGGACAGCGTGGAGGCCCAGGAAACAGCAGTGGCAGGAACAAAATCTCTGATGATGGCATTTTTCAAAATAAATCTGCTCATTGTCCAGGCTGCTTGGGACATTTTCCACCCTGGTGCAGGCCTGGCACCTTTCACCTACAACCCCAGGGACTCCACACAGTTATTTGTAGCTGTTGCTAATGTGCTTTATAAAGAGGAAACAGGCTCAAAGAGGTAAGGGTGGGAGGTGGCAGAAGTGGGATTTCAACCACACGCTGCTGTCCCCATGAAGGCCTCAGTCACCCTGGTGGTCACTAGCTAAGCATGCAGACCTGGAGAGGCAGGTCAAGGCAGTAGGAGAGGATCAACTGAACAGCACAGAAGTCTGAGCAGGAGGTGGGCCCCTGCAGTGTGTCCAGTGTGGGGGGCAGAGTACAATATCCGCCCTGGATCCACTTGTGCTCTGCTAATGTTCAACCTTAGGGAAACTGAGGCAGTATGGTTTTGCTGTCAGACTAAATCACTATGGAAGACCCAGTTGGAAATGTGAGCACATGGAAGGATTTGGAATCACAGCTGAGTCAGCCTGTCATGGCCACCTCCTCACTAGGTGACCCTAAGCAGGTCCATTCCCTTTCTGAGCCACTGGGATGTGGCTTTCCCCTGCACCACTGTCACAAGGTCAAATGGCATAAAGACTCTCCAGAGCCTTCTCAGAAGGGGCCCAGCATCAGGCCAGTCAGTACAAGAGCCCATCTCAGGGCCTGGGGAGATACCTTTGCAGTCTAAGCACCTGCCTGGCAAGCGCAAGGACCCGAGTACAATCCCCGGCACTGCATGCCATGCCAGCACTGGCCCGGAAGTGCCAATCCCAGCACTGGGGAGGCTGAGGCGGAAGGATCACTATGAGTCTGAACTGTGCAGTGAGACCCTGTATCCAATACATAAATAAAAAGAAGGACGAGCCATCTCAGCCTTGCCATGGAAGCATGTAGTCGTGAGGCTGCAGAGGAAGCAGGGCCGGATCCCGCTTTCTGGGCCTCGGCTCCAGTTCCCAGCAGGATTCCCCAGCCAGGCTGGAGGCCATGGCTCCGTTTCCAGGGATTTATGTCCCTCCATGCTAGTCTGCCCTTTGGACAATGCCCACCTCTGTGAGTCCCTGTACTCCACGACCCAGGAGTGATACATAGTCATCCAGGGTCTGGGACATCATAATCTAGTGCCATGGCAACAGATAGGCTGCCACAAAGGACTGAGGATTGCAGAGGGCATCGAGGAGGGGCCAACCCCAGGACAGAGGAGGGACAGTGGGAAACCCAGGACAAAGGCTGTGGGAGCTGCTGTTTACAGCAAGAACATAGGCTGACTAGTGTCAGACAGTACGTGGCCCCATCAGGCTGCTTGGCCACACTGGACTGGGTGACCTTATTCAATCTACCCAACTGCTCTTAGCCTCCCTCTTCATCTGTCCCTGCCTCACAATGCACACAGGGCTGCTAGGAGGAGCAAATGGGCTAAGGGTGGCACCAGGGCTTTATACACAGAAAAAGCAAAAAGGCACATGTCTGAGAACATAGCGTCATAGCCCCGGCCCTGGCAGCTGTGTGTGGCACGGGGTCCTTCAGGTAGCCCCCTTGGGCCTCATTCCTCATCAGGAGTCAGAGGTGGGTGCTGCCTGAGTTTCAAGCCCCTCTCCTCACCCAGGCTGTGCTCCTGCAAATTCTGACCATTCAGCACCTCTGGTACCCCTGAGACAA